TGGGTAGAAGCCATAGGCTAGAGTTCGGTACGTTCGCTTTAATGAGAAGAGAGGATGGACAAAAAAAGATTGGTAACCTTGATAGCTGGTAACAGCAGGAAGGCATCAGCGTGCTGCTGTGAGTTAGGCGGCTCGGGGAGCAGCGCACAACACCGCTCCAACAGCGCGCCAAACATCAGCAGCGACACGCTAAGTGCACACTCCAGCCACGCCGACCGACCATTCTTATCACCAGATTCTGCACACAATACTGCATATTTACTACTAGTTAAAGATACAATTAAATTGGGTATTAAAGCTTTAAAAAGGTATAAATAAAGGAAGATAGACTAGAATGTAACAAAAGATGACTGAAGTATTTTATAATTTCTCATATTTTTAACACGATTTAAAATAGAAGAGTGTATGTTAAATGTGCTTTCGGAACATAAACATATTCTGTTCTACTATTTTCAATAACTTGCCAATTTCGCTTTACATATTACTGTTATTAATACTACTGTTACTAATTTTCGTAATGACTTTTTCAATTTCCGACTATCATAAAATTTAAATTGCCTCGCTCTAGACCCGTTTCAATTCGCCATTCTAAGAATTATCGACATTCATACATATTGCGTCTTCAAAATAAAGTTTGCGATGAAAACAAACTTTAATTACAAGTATCTTTAACATAGTACTAAGGTGTCGTAAATTAAAAATAAAATAAAAAACATGGCCAAGTCTAAAATATAAAGTTAGATCAAGTAGATACAAAGAACATATTAACATAATTCAAATATGGTGATAATAACGATAATTTACTTATTATAGTAAGTAGATAACAAGTTTTTTAACTTAACAGCAAATAACATAGCACGTTAGTTGTAAAAGGACTTCCACGACTACACAAGTACTTTATGCTTAGTCATAATATAAATAAATTTAAAAAATTGCGACACCAATTTATATACCGTTTTATTAGAATTTTATTCATAAGATTCTCACAGACTACGTCCATTTATTTCAAAGTCTTATCTTAATCGTTGCGGTGTGGTCTGACTGCATTAATATTTTCAACGTATGAACTAAACAATGCGAATCTCTTAAACAAATCGAACACATTTATTTATCAAATTGTCTTGAATTCTCTTAAGGATGTGACTCATGCGAAGGAAGCGGTAAAATTTTTATATCCTCTCTTTACTGTTATGACATCCATCAAACAGTTGTTAGCAACGTTACATCTAGTCACCACCACTCAACGCTTTGTATATTCAATTTACATAAAACTTAAACTGGTTTCTAAATAAACAATGTCCTTTCTCTGACGTGTTTCTTTTTTTCCATATAACATTACATTTTTCCTCTTTAATATTACTTATAATACAAAGCCAATTAATTAAAATAAAGGAAAGAAATGTAAGTGTTATTAATTGCAGTCTCATTTTAAGAGTATTCAAAATAATAGTAGACTTAAAAATATTCCCAAGGAATATTAATTCCTATTAATTTAAATACAAAGTAGTACTAGGGGTCAAGTAACCGTAAATGCAATATCAAAAATATCCTACGACTTCGATAAGATTGTATCGCTTAATTAATACCGAAGTGGCGCAAAAAGAAGGCGTCCGAGTCGTCGCGACTAGATACAACATGAGCTATTAAATATCGGTCACACGGCATATAATATCCATCACGGAGATATAATTGAGAATAACAAGCTGTTAAAAATGATAATGCCAGTTTATGAAGTAAGGTATCTAGAAGGGCCGGAGATGAGGTCCGGTGCCGCGGGCGCGGAGCCGGTCCGGTATAAATAGTGACGGCTAAAAATAACAGCAGGGATTGCATCTGCAACTGACACTCCCGACATCACACGACATTACACGACACGACACCCACGTCTTTACTCCTACTACGTACTAATAAACTATATTAGACAACCTATCATATTTTACACACAATTACCAGACATTTTTATTTAATATTCCCCCATTACTGACATGACATTGACACATACTGCAATCTTCGTAATTGCATGTTGATATCACGCATACGAATTATAGCAGACCAAACACGCCCTTACTCGGCACGGATAGTTATTTTTAACGTAACAATATTTATAACACTAAAAAGAGCATTACAATTGGTATAATTCACCGAACTGTGCATATAAATGAAGTTAAGTAGCGGTTTGTAAACAAAAACTAATACTGAGCAATCTGCATTACCAAATGCGACATAATTTATAAAATGACCTACACTAAGAAAAAAGGAAGCATAGTATGAATATTCATGAATAAAATTGTGTAACAATCTTTGCCGGTGTCATGTTGTGAAGGATGCCAAAGGGCACGATCGCACAGAACGTCGTAATTAAGGCCCTCACTGGCCGTAGTTTCCCCTCGTGTAATATAAAATAACATTACGTATAATCGCGTAAAAACGGCGTCACCGTTCCGTGGAGTCAGTTTGTTGAACCTGTCCGGCGGCGGGTAGCGCTGCATCGCTGCGTTGTGCCGCTGTAAGCGTTGCAGCGCTGACAGCCGCGCTCGCGGTGCATCAACCTTCTCCGATAACTTGTAATTTGTAATTACAAACCTTTACTGCTCCCGGTCGAGGGCGCAGGAAACGGCCAACTTTACAAGCCTTTATGGGCTAATTTTGAAAATCTATTCGGTGTACACGCAATTATTGCAAGGCATTGCGAATCACGCTCGCGCACCGTAAAATTGGAAAAAAATAATCACTATCTTAGACAGTTTATAGGTAGAAAAAGTTTCCCTTTCATGATTCTACTAAATTATCTTGTGTCTACTTTTTTAATTGTACAATGTATAAAATTATTCTATTATTTTTTTCACATTTGTCTGCGCTTAATAGTTATTGATTTATCTTTATAATGTCTGTCTGTTTTTAATAATGTCGGAAAACCTATACCCTTGTGCAAAGGGTCATTAGCTAAGCTCATAAAGGCGCTAGTCCCGTGTCGCACGTCCGGCGTCCGGCGTCCGACGTCGGCTCGCGGATAATGGATACACACTTTTATGATAAGCAATTATTTCTCCTGTCCGCTGATTACTTCTTCATGTATAATTAACTTTGACTTTGAGGCGCAGTAATTAATTCTGCTTTTACTCGCATCGAGTATTAAAAAGACAGCAATTTTCAACTTACATGGATATTCGATGCTATCGCGTTATCGATTTTTGCATTACTCTAATAACCTAATTAACTGTCACGATTATAAAAGTAAATTAATTAAAAAAAGTTACCGCACTAGGTAACAGTATTAAGGACATGTTTGATAATAAAAAGCTTATATTAAGCGTCAAAGCTGCAGTTGAGCTTAAATTATGTTTGCAAATATTAACATAACAACTATGTTAAACTCGTCGTTATAAATATTGCTCTGTATGAAAAAATAACTTCTAAAAATCTAATATAACTCTCCGCCCACAGGATAATAAATTCTTAAATTTATCTCATAACCTGTGCCCGCTTACATTTAGAACGAAAGCCTATCTGTTGAATTAAACCTTCGTATCAACAAAGAGATGCAATAAAAATGTGGATAAACGAAAGTTATTACGGCTAGCTAACCTTGAATCACATAATGTAACGGTACTCCTATTACACAATACTAAATCATACTTATATAATTATATGTTGTTAGGCAACGAGTGAGGCGGATACGGGTAATAAAAATAAATTCAAAAAGACAGCAAAAGCAAAGGGAATTGAGAAAATTGGACAACCCGTTATTAAAGCGTTCCAAAATTTAAATTACGGTAAACGAACGTAGAAACAACGGTAACGCGGTATTAAATAATAATAATTATTGCCTATTCACATGTGGACGTAAAGATGGTCTGATCATTTTAATATCGAGATTTACATAAGTATGATCTATTACTTTAATGGTTATAGAACATACTTATGTAAATCTATGGAAACATCTCTTACCACAACATTTATTTTACACTAAATTTTAAAATTCAAGAATATAAGTCTCTTATAAAGTTATAACCGCTTAATGATTGTCAGGTTCCACGAGGACCCCAAGGAATGCAGGAAAATTAATCTGTTTTCGAACATTGAAGGCTCACCCTAAGAAACACTCGTCTGTCAAGTGTGAACAACCAAAATGTAATGAATTTAAAAAATGCACAAAATATAAAAATGGTCGTCATCAAAAAAAACGGGATCAACTGAAATCGTGACACTTTGAAAGGGGTCCACGAGGAAAATAGTTTGGGAACCTTTTTCGTCTAGGCATTTTTGCAGGAATAGTTCAGCACGTGTTGAGGTGCTATAGCTTTAATCTGATTTTAATTTTAGTTAAAAGGTGGAATGTAAAAGTGGAATCAGTTGTCATAAATCGTCAGTACCTGTGGTCACGCTATTAGGAGAATAAGATCGTGAGAGTTGTTTTTGTATTTCAAATTATTCGCTTTAACCTCGTTCGGCAAAAGGAGTCGTAAAAATCAAGATTTCTCACGTCGATCCCGTCGAGCGGAAACGATATATACACTTTGTATGAAAACGCCGTGGCTAAAGGTTTTAAATAAATTGAACCTGATTTTTTTTACCCTATTAACCGTTATAAAAGTTTATTTGCAATCGTATGAGAAACATATTTTAGTTTAGTTATGCTGGGTTTGGTTTTAACATCAAAACAAGAAGACATTTCTCACTTTTCCTAGGGAATCTTGACTAAACTTTAGGGCATATTTTAGCATAACATAAATAAAGATTAACAATAATGATGTTAAGAGTTTGTCAGGCTATTAACTGATATACAAGTAACCGTTTTCATAAAAAATAACATGTATCCAATTTCAATAATATTCTTATATTTATTATGACAAAAGTCAAGCGAGAACAAAAACGAAGGATCGCATGTTGTGCGTTTTTTACATTCCGTGTTCTGTAAGGCGCTCGGCCGTAAAATAATTGCACGATTTTACTAAATAGCTCACATAATGACATAATTTTAAACACTCTTGAAATAAGAGGCCGCTTTATAAAACCTGATTATTTATTTTTTACCAATACACAAAATTCATGAGTTTCATTCAGACCACAACTGCGATTACGCTCCAACCATAAAGAATTTAGTTTATTAGGGGTTCTGCGGTAATGTTCAGTTATGACATTTTTATCATACTAGCTCTCGCCCGCGACACCGTCCGCGTGGATACACAATTCACTGTATCTAGTCTACATATTTCCTAAATGTCTTTGAGTATAGTGTGTGTGTGTGTGTGTGTGTGTGTGTTACCTGGGCGCGCGGCGGCGGTGGTCTCGACGGCGAACATGTTGAGCGCGGTGAGGTGCAGCAGGCGCGCGGCGGCGGTGGGCAGCGGCTGGCGGTGCAGCAGCGCGCGGAACTGCCGCAGCATGCGCCGCGCGCTCTCGTGCAGGCTCTCCATACTAGCATATTACAAATTATTATATTTTTCGTCATCATCGTCTTTATCCTACTCCCGTAGGGTCGGCGCAACAGGTTTTTGTCCTCTTCAGACGGCAAATCAGTCATCACTCCCTTTTGATCATGTCACCTTTCATGCAATCCATCCATCTCGTTCTAGGTCTACCTCTACCGGTGTACATTCACACGCATAACATTCTCCTTGTAAGGGCGAAAGCTAATTACCAAATATACTATTTGATTAAAAGTATACTATTAAGAGATTCAAATTTTTAAAGCACGTATGTTCTTAAATCTCATGCTCTACTCCATATTGGCCACCAGAAAGTTTAGTAGGTGATATTTTCATGTTCATAAGATATATTAAGACAGTGATAGAGGATTAATATTTTAACATATATACACTTACCCAATTTTCGTTATCAATTTTCCATGAACATGCAGATAACTGGTGATGAAGTTTTTATTTAACTGCAAATAAAAAAATTATATTAAAAAATTACCAAAATTTAACACAATTAAATTAGAGCTTCATGTAATTGAAACAAAATTAAAATTGACACATCTTTACATTTGCTCTTGGAAACGAAAATAAACCTTGTTTCAACCACATAAAACTCAATTTCATTTGCAATACAAATTCTGCTCCGCCTCGGCCCGACTGTACATACGTTTATTCTGACATATTGAGCTGAAAAGTCGGACTGTTCAGTGAAAACTGTCAGTAGTGAACATGTGGTCACAAGCAGTGGTCATCAGTGTTACTGACCTCGACGGGTGTCATGTGGTCGAAGGTGTCATTGTGGCGTGTTGCGGCGAGGGGCCGCAGCCACACCTCGCGGCGGCCGCCCTCGCACACCGCGCTCGCCTCCTCGCTCTCTGCCTTCGCCACCTCCGCCAGACGACGCTTCTTCTCCGCCGCCTCGTACTAAACAATATAACATACTATAGTTTGTCTAAATAAGATAAATTATACTGTGTCTAAATAATTTAGTTTAGTTTGACAATTCATTTGACAATTTGGTAGAGATGGGTTGTGTAAAATCAATCATGAATCTTATCGATTTTCGATTCTTATTCTTAAAGAAGTTGGAATCGACAGATTTATATTTATAACTTATGAATTAATAAAAAACATTATTTTCTCAAATTAATAATGACCTGCAAAACCATTACAAATAATGAGAGTAAATAAATATTTATTACTATTACAGCCGTACAAAATGGAATTAGATGGATATTTGTTAGAGTTTGTAGCCGAAACGGCTATTTTCTACGACTATTGGTAAAATTAAAAACTTGACATACCTTTTTCCTGTTTTCATCAAATAATGATAATAAACTTTCGCGAGCTGATTGAAAAGGATTCGATGACATTAAACTTCTCATGTAATAATACACAGCGTCTAATTTTCTCCTCTGAAAAAAAAAAATATTTATATAAGTCGGTTACATTATTTTTTTTTATAAAATAATTAACATCGTTCAGTTACATACTTACAGCGTATATAGCTAGTAAAGCTAATTGATTATACGGCCTTCCATTTTTCGGATTTATCTGTTGAGCTTTCGTGTACCAAAATTTACTCTTAGCGAAATTATTAGTTTCATTCACTTGTTCCTTATACCTAGCTAAGTCTCCCAAAAACACGTATAACTTTTGTACTGAGATCAGGGCGAGGCCCACGTAGCCGAGACCCTTCGGCGGCAACACGTGATTGTCGTTTAAATAGTCATCCGTATTGAACTTGTACGTTTTCTCCAAAGTTTGTAAGAGATTCTCGAAGAAAACGTTGCCCTCCTCTATTATAGTATTGATCAGTTTTATAACGTCCGGCTTCACTTCGGGAGGGACTTGCGGGATGCTCTTCCTCAGCACCTCCAGAAAGTTGTAGTACAACATTTTCCAAAACTGATGCTCGATGTTATCCGACTGGCAATATTTCAAATCGGACATTAACAAACTTTGGAGGGCACTCTGCAAAAACTTTCTGAAACAATATGTACAATTTTAATACAAGTACCCAAGAAACGTTCTTGACATGTTTTAATTGTGTACTTTCAGATTTTACCTATACTTTTTGCTTTTTACTGTCATTAGTAGTATAATTCCAGAGTATGCATACCTAGTTTCGATGACGTCATGCCAGTGCGCGGCGAGCGCGGCGGGCGGGCGCAGCGCGTGCGTGCGCAGGATGGCGTCGGCGCGGTCCACCTGCTGCAGCAGCGCCACGTGCCGCGCCGCGCGCGCCGCCTCGCCCGCCTCCGCGCCACCGCCCCCGCCCCCACCGCCGCCCCCGCCGCCGCCGCCGCGGCACGCCGCCTCCCGCATACCTACATACACTTTCATGTTTTCAGTTCTCCAAAATATCGACGGGTGAAAGAATATTTGTTTCAACCGCAATTTTAGGCGATATTGACTACATACATGTATATATTCAGAATCAGCGACTTAGAAATATGCAATAAAAAATGAAGTACGCAGAATTACAGTTATTTAAATCTAGAACCGGTCTGAAAATCTTTCAATTGAAATTATTTTCAGGATTTGCTTTTATGTTTTTTTTATTCATAAAAATGAAAACTTTAAATGGCTTTCCTGAACATTTAACCTAATGGCGCTTAAAAGAAATATCCACAAACCCTCAAGAGCATGTTTTTCGCGCGCGTACGTGACTGTCTTTGTGACATCAAGACCTTGTCTTGCTTATATAAGTAGAGAAATTTGTCGAATCTATCTATCGATATTTGCACGCGATTTATTGGCGCATAGTACCTCGGTATTCGCACAAAAAATTTCTCTCCTTCTGAACAAGGCTTTATAACCAAAAATGTTGAGTGAAGTGTCATTCAATATGTTTTCTATATTACGTAGCCTTTTTATTGATATTAATACAATAATACTTACCATGTTCCATTCTCATATCAATTTTAGAAGGACTAGTCTGTACAATTATAGGCTTGGATGGATTATGGTGGTCAAACAAAGTCTTTTGATTATCAAGAGGTCCAGAGCGCCTGAAATAAAAATACAAATATGTAAATGTGATAAGATGCCTTAAATCAATAAATTAAATATTACATGGCATTATTTATTATTATTGATTAAAGCTATTTACCCATCTTTATGTAATGTCGACATAGAACTTTGTGGTAATATAATTAATCCTGGCTGTCCACTGGAAGTGTCCGTCGCAGATTTATCTGACAACACACTGTTCAACCTGTTCCTCTGATGATCGTGCCCTCTGAAATCATAATTGTAAACTTTTATCTATGTATTATTTTTTATTTACACTTCATATACGAATATAGAGACATTTAAATTATTTCAACTTTCGTGAGACATTTTATAATTAATTATTTTACGGCTTACTAACGTCATACTTTTTTCCGGTGACGGCACCGATCAGTTTCAGACCCTGCGGGGTCCTTCTTCAGGGCGAGGGTTAAAGATATTGTATCGAGGTCGCGTCGCGCGGCGCGATACAACATGAGTAAGCCGTAAAATAATTAATTATAGAGACATTTTTATGGATTTAAATTTATGAAACACATTACATTACCTATTTCATACCATTAATATAAACAATTTTGTTATTCTTACAGACCTAATTAAATCAATAAACATACCTATCATTTATATTGTGATGTTTCTTTGACTCCAATATCTCTTCCCTCCAATTGATATTAGTGGGTGCGGGAGTGGAGCCCGGTGGTTGGTGTGTGGCGGGCTGTACATTCTCACTGTTCCTCCCTCTGCGGCGAGAGGAGCGCTTCTTGGAGCGGCGACCTCCCCCACCCTGGTGACCCTCGCTCACAGGTTCCTTGCTGGCTGTACTGGGTGTTGGAGAGTGCCTCCTTCTCTCTATACTCGATGGCCGTCCACTGTACCAGCTACCGTTATTCTTCTGCTATAAAGTTTAAAATATAATAAGATCCTCTTTTTATAAGAAAGGATGAATTTGACTAAGGAAATATTCTCTTTATGTGCGTTTTTCAATAACAATATAAGGTAGAATCATCAAAATTATGTGGATATCTATGAGAAGCATGTTTTTTTTCTTTTAGCCATGTTACTAGTAAGTTAATGATATCATCCATGAAATTAATGTATCATAATATACCTGACTTGTAGACATGGATGCAACTGGTTTTGGTAATCTGAAACCATCATTATCTCTTGGACTCAAGGCACGGTTAGATGAAGTGTCTCTGCTATTACATTGTGACACAAGTCTTCTGCAAATATAAACTTTATTATATACCATATAAAAAAAAATACATCTTACTAATATTATAAATGCAAAAGTTTAGATGGATGGATGGATGTTTGTTAGAATTTGTAGTCTAAACTGCTAAATGGATGAAATTTGGCATAGATGTAGAGGATAATCTGGAAGAACACATAGGGCTACTCAGTTTTGATATTTTTTTAATTCCTGACCGCGGACATAGTCGCGGGCGAAACCTGGTACAGAATATATTAAAATAACATACCTTTCGGTGCTCTGTTCCCTACTGTACGATCGTAAAGATCTCCACTTATCTAAATCATCCCTACTATTTCCGATAGTAGATGAACGATTACTTCTGTGACTGTCTCTTCTCTCCCTCTCTCGTTGCTTAAGATTTGTTGGCATTACGTCATGATGAACGCTGACATTACTGTCCCGTCTGTTCCAATCAGGTTTACTTTGAGTACTAACGTTACTATCCTTTCTATTTCTCTCTTTCTTTTCAACATTCCTTTGACCTCTACTAGAACTCCTGGTAACAAAAAATTTACATTATATGTTGAAATATTACATCATAATTTTCTTTAGTCTAATTTTTTTTTTTGATACCTTTTGTCTCGTCGTTTTGATCTTCCGCTTCGTTTAGACTCTCTAGGTTCAGGTAATTTCACTTCTTCCGTTACAGACATTTTGACACTTTGTGAAAAACTTGTTGATGTGTCACACATATCATCCAGCTTTATGTTTTTTTCCACCTCTTCTGACCAATCCTATTAAGAAGTAAAAAAAAATACAACACAACTAAGAATGATATTATGACTGTTAATAGGATAACTATCTTGTTGAAATTGTCTTAAGTAATAATATACTTAACCATTGTAATCTTAAATTTAAATTGTCTAAGAAACTCACCAAATTAGACATATCAGTAAGGCTTGTTAATTTGAAGGCAGATTCACTTTCATTTTGTGTATCATTACCAGGTTCAACTTCTTCAGATTTATCTTGTTCATTGGTTGATTTACTAACACCATTTTCACTTACTGAAAAAATAAAAAAACTTTATACATTTCATAACAAATTACTAACCAGGCATTCATTATAATTACATAACATAGAATCATTTATATTTGTATATAGTGTAATACCTAGTATTTGAATATACAGTTAATGAACTTTAAGAAAATGTAATAATATGTAGGTAGATCACATTGATATCACAATTTATGTCAACCATAATTTTCTGCTGCAATTAAATAATTTTGCATTGAGACATTATTTACTACATATTTAAATCAATATGAAATAATATTTATTAAGACTTCAATATTGTCCTTTTATTCTATCTTAAAAAGTCTTATCTTTTACATAAGCTGAACTAAAAGTAGTAGTTTCCCAATGTTTGCAGAATTTAAAAATATTTGCAAAGAGATATTGTCACTTTTAACATTTTTATTGTATTCAGAGCAGCAATAATAATCACACTATATTGGACTGAAATAAGGTGAAATAAATACACACCACTATCATAAGATTCATGCTGATCTCCTTTGCTAAATACTTCTTCTGATTTTGCATTAATGTGACTATTATCAACTACATTTGGTTCATATAAATTCATGTAAGAACTGCTCGGTGTAGATCTTCTTGAGTTATGTACATCATGATTTTTTAAATATGAATTGAGGAATTTCTCCCTGTCAAAATGCTCATTGTCCCTTAAACGACCTCTACCTCTTGATGGTAAAGTTTGGGACCAATTTGCATTTGTAGTACAAAATTGATTAGGGTTGTTAATGGATTGAGCTGATGATGAATGTCCATCTCTATGTAGTTGGTCTCCACTTTCATAATTTTGGTGTCCAGCTTGTTCCAAAAATTTCTTTCTAAATCTTGGTGGGATATTATCCAAATTGATATGCTTAGGCCTAGGTAGATCAGTTGGATAACCAGCAGAATTTCTGCGACCTGAGGGTGGTTTTGCACCTGAACCAGATTTGTGCCTACCAGCCCATGTCTCCATACTTCTGCTGTCGCGGTTTCTGTCTACAGCATTTTGATCTTGTAAATAGTGTGCAGGTGAAGATGATCTTGATTCAGAGCCATGCCTGTTCTTGTTGGAATTAATATCATTACTGGTTCTATCATTATGATAGTAATCTGTTACAGACTTATCTCGACCCAAAGAACCCTTGGGAAATGGAGCAGGAGCATTACTTGAAACTACCTTATTTTCTTGATTGTTTGACATTCTTCTGTTATTGTACTGACTAGAATTATCACACCTCAAGGAACCCTTAGAATGTTTCTCGACATCACCAAAGGAATCGGAGGACCTTGGCACATACAATTGCTGTTCAGGTTTTTTATGTCTAGGATTAGATGATTGTGGTCTACATCTTAAATCATCGCCATTGATGGAATTTTGAGATCCATAACGGTTCGACTCTTTACCTTTGTAACTATTATCTATTTCGTAAGATTCCATTTTGCAGTCCAAGCCATGCCTTGATCGTCTCAAAGGCCCACTGCCAGGTTTGTAAATTTTTTGTTGTGGTTTGCTTTTCCTGTAATCTTTACAGTCATCATCCATAGTAATATTGCGAATGTTACGGAATTTAAAATAATCGCATGCTATTTAATTTAAAAAGGGTTGGACTACATTTAATTAGTTATTTTATTGTACTTAAAAAAACGAGTAATTTGACTATTGACAGGATAAATAAAGGTTATGTTGCAATTATTAGTTGAACAAAAAAAGCAATTATATCAAAACTTTTGTTAATGTTAATTGTTAAATGGCAAAAAACTCTTCACCTTAATATGTGTACGATAATCTAATAATCAAAATTTTACAATGAAAACAATGCATCGAATCAACATCGAATAATATAACGTTTGTATTGTGACTACAGATACAATAATAAATTTACAGATAAATCTAGAAAAACACAGATACTTAAATGTCAAATGTTTGAGGAAATCGTTTTTATATTTCATTGACAAGATTAAAAAAAAAACTGAAAGCTGCTGAAAACTACAATACACACTACCCATATACATTTGCGCCTTTAATAAATTGATTTATTCTTTTCATATTACAAGCATTTTACAATTACGTAAAACATCATTACATCACTAATTTCCAAACTATCTATTATCGCCACATTAACGCTTATAATAAAAACGAATGTTTATTATTTTTATTTGGTAACTCTGTCGGTGATATGTCAATTTTAGAAAGTAAAATTGTCTATTGTTTAGAGCGATTAAAACAGTTTGATATTTTCATACTTTGGCTTTTTAGCCTTTTTTTGGGGAGAAAAGTTCTTAGTTAGAATTCCGAAATTTTATTGAAATAAAGAAACCATTTGTATTAATTGAGTTAAAAACAAAAAAATCTTAACGATAAAAAGAAAAAAGACCAGTACTAAACTCTAGATCATTAATCGTTGCCTTCAAAAAGCGTTTACTTTCCAAAGTATTTGTGATATATATGTTGTACTATTTTTTTTTGGTTTTCAAATTTATTGATTAATTTTCTAGGTGTAGCTAGCTTTCTACATTAATTGTAAAAATATATCTTCGATTATATGATGAAGAAAACTTCAGAAATAATGTTTTTAATTACAAAATGGCTAATCGTTCAGAAATGATTAAGTACCAAGTTGTGTTGTCCACACTATGTTTTTAACCAGCAAATTGCAATGGGTTCCTAACCCGTGGCTGACGTTTAAACAATTTTTTTATTTTTAAGAAGTAGGAGTTGTACATTTTTTATAGGATTAAGTGTAATAACCGTGTTAATTTTTATCCTTTTTTATTTAATATCGTTCATGATTAAGAAATAATGTCATTCGAATACTTACCTGTGGCCGAAGACGAAAATGAAGAACCCATAGAACTTCCTATCGAAGAGGATGGAACATTGATGTTAACAACAGTGTCTGCGCAGTTTCCAGGATGTTGTGGACTAAAATATCGTCATCCTGACACGAAGAACATAAGAGGTATTAGACTAAGAGACGGCAGACTTTACCCTCCTCCTGAAGGATGGGGTAATCTCTTGTACGTTTGCAGCTTTCCGAAAGAAAATAAACGGAAACCGGGAGAAATTACTGACGCCGCTAAGAACAAACGTAATGATAATTTGTGTTCTGACTTGATTGTTCTGGGCTTACCATGGAAAGCAACCGAGCAAACTGTGAGAGAATACTTTGAAAAATTTGGAGAAGTATTAATGGCCCAGCTTAAACGAGATCCTAAAACCGGTATGTCAAAAGGTTTTGCTTTCATCCGATTTGCATCATACACTTCTCAGATGAGAGTGTTAGCCCAAAGACATATGATTGATGGCAGGTGGTGTGATGTGCGAATACCGAATTCAAAAGAAGGCTCTGTAACATCAATGCCTTGTAAAGTTTTTGTTGGTCGTTGTACTGAAGATTTGACAGCCAATGATTTAAGAGAATATTTCTCACAGTTTGGAGAGGTAACTGATGTTTTTATTCCTAAGCCATTTAGAGCTTTCAGTTTTATAACATTTTTAGACCCAGAAGTAGCACAAAGCCTTTGCGGTCAAGATCACATTATTAAGGGTGTTTCTGTCAATGTATCCAATGCATCACCAAAGCAAAATAAAAGTGGGTCTATTCAACGGAACCTACCTAGCCGGAGTTATGAAGAAGGCCACCCACATAATTCTTCTAACAACAACTCTTGGAATAATCGTAACATGGACATGGTGAATATGCAAGCATTAGGCTTGTCTGGTCAACATGGGCAAACTGCAGTTGCCGGTGGTGGAGGACAAGGGCAAGGTGGCAACATGCCACTGGGCATGGGGGGACTGCCAGTGAACCAGGCCCTCGTGGCAGCTGCTCTAAACCAAGCTGGCTGGGGGTTAATAAACAACATCCCATCAGGAGGTTCAGAGCAAGGAGCATTTGCAGGGCCAGCATCATCTGCTCCACCAGGTCCTCCTAACTTCCTGTCATGGATGCAACAAGGTAATTCTGCACAGGGACCTTCTAGTCAATGGGGACAGAGGCACCAATCCCAAGGTCACTCAGTTTGATCCAGTGTCTAATTTGATAAGCTCACATAATCTCTGTGATTGTAGCAAGAATTAGATAATTATTATTTGTCTTCATCTGAAATACAAATGGGTTGTTCTGTCGGTAGAAAGTGGTACACCTGTGGGTAGCCACTCATGTTATTTAATTTATTATGGAATTGCTTGTGTTTTGTTGTTTTTCTTGAGTCCTTTATCTTTACAAAAATTAATAACTGATGAATCAGGTATACACTTGAAACAGTAGGTAGAATGTGACAAAAATAATATAATTAAATAATTGTTCATGTGCTTCTTTTCTTCCTAATTATATTAATTTGTGTTTAACATACTAACAAGGCGTTATTGAGATAAATATTAATAAAAAATGATGGCTGGGAGTATATGTAATAATTTGTTATAAAAATCAAGTTAGTATCACATGATTAACATTTGAGTTATAAATCATTTCATTGTTGACTCATAAAAAATAGATTGCTATTTTGTGAAGTCTTTGTTTTGAATTGAGAGCATATATGTATAGTATTTTATTTATTAGTAGGACTCGGTTTTGCTTTCGGTGACATTTGACTTTGTAGCATGCATCAATAGAGAGCAGAAGTGTAAGTACCTATCATAGATTAAGTGTATTGTGCTTTTGTACATTAATAGGTATATGTTTTTACAACAGACTGTTGAGAGTTCATACTTGTATAATAAACATAGAGATCTATCGATTGTTATCATTGTTTAACAAATAATGTTGATTATTATAAATTTATTATGTATGTTTCCTCGATACATGTACATGGCTATAATTGAGGGCAAATGTCTATTTTTGACTAAATAAATGGCTAGAATATTTTTGTGACTATGAAATATGGGAATTGTTCTTTGAATGGGTACCTAGATGTAATGTTAGAGAACACACTGGTGCAAAAACATTGTATATGTAAATTTTAAGGCAGAAATATAGATGGTTGTACAAATGACAAGACTGTAAATATTGTTGAAAACATACAACACCATATAGATTTATAAAAATGTTTTGTCTACAATGTTCTATTCAAACTAGTAGTGTTGCATGGATAGTGACAGACTGTATGGGTAGTGTTGAACAAACTGTGGCATGATTTGGCATTAATTTTTGATGATTATGCAAAATCTGGGATATAACATTGCTTCAATAACAATTTAAAATGTTGTTACAATACTGTACTGGGTTGTTATTGATATATTATACTTTGGTAGATTACTATATTTTGGTTTTGTTATGACAAATACATAGAAATCTTAATTTCAATATGACAATCTGCAAAGTTTGTGACAATTTTAAAAACCATCACAGTAATAGCGATGGTATGGTTTCTTTTTGGTAGTTGAATTATTTTCTTATCTTAAGTCTTCAGAAAACAACAGGTACCTATTCTTGTCAAAAATTTAAGGTCTATGAAATATAATTTTTATTTGACATCATTTATTTTCTTGGTTTGCTTTTTGTAGTTTTCGCTTGGTTTTGTTTGTGTTATTAACTTATTTTAATGTGGGTCAATATTTGTTTGGTTCTTAGAATAATAACATGTATGATTGCAGTTAAGATGTTACATTAGTTAACCATCCATCCATTCTTCCATCCAAGTTCAGGAAATCCACTTCCTTCACAATACACTACTTGATCTGGTAATTGGGTCTTCTGGTTGGGTGTATTTCTGTATCACCATGAAATTTACATTAATTTAAAAAATAGTGTTGAAACTTTATTTTGGTTTTTTATATAAAATGCCTTCAATGTGTTATTATTCAATTGCATGCTGTTAAAATATTAAATGTGTGTCTGCCAATGTAGTAAGTGTCTGTAGTAAAATATGTCAATTTTAATTGAAATTGTTACAAAATGTAACATTAGGTGTCCATAATTAATTACATATTGCATTCAATGAATATTCTATGTATATGGGAAGACAATGTAAAAAAATGTCTTAAGTTTATCAAAGTGCAATCCAAACATATTGTAAATTATTCTAAACAATTTTAAATGTGCAAAATGCACAAGAGTTATGTAAGAAAATGTGTTAGTGTGCGCTTAGTCATTATATTGTATGTTCATAACCACTTATAGTTACCTGTTCATTTGTTTGGCTTGCATTAAAAAAGCAATTGAAATTTTATTAAATATGTTTATAATGTTTTATCTACTAAATACTAAAGTTTTGTAACAAAAATCATGTTTTAAGTTTATTTGGAGGTGTGGTTTCAAGATTTTCTAAGTGTCAGTTAACTGTTGCTCATTTAATTAAACTGTATCATCAGATTGTTTCTGTTATTGATTAATAATTTGTAAAAAATATAAGTGGGTATTCTTAAAGAATCCAACACAGTACTATCTAATTATTGTTTACTTTATTAAATTACATATAAATTATGAAACTATTCATATATCAATTGATGATTTTTTATTAACAATTCAAAGTACATATGTATTTATACTATTATAGTTCTGTACTTAATCTCGTTTAGAGTTTACAGATGTTTCTATACATGTTTCGATGCACTTCCAGACTATACATGCTATTCTTCCAGTCTTTTTTGTTTCAAATTGATGACATAGCTCTGATGTATACTTGTAAAATTTTGAATATAAAATGGCTTCCTTTAACAGTTTGTATTTCAAACAATTCGCTGTGATAGTAACCCACAATCGATAGGCTCGTCAAATAAATCAGATATTTATGCGGACTTTCTATGCAATGTTACACAAATTGATCGCCAATTCAAATATATTTTTCTCATATGATAGTGTAATGCGAATAGTATACGTTTTGTGGGGATTTATCTTTGGAATTATGTAATCACCACAAAAAGCATACTATAAAGCCCTTAATTTGCGAGGGCCATACATAAAATGCGAATTATGTATATCGATTTATTTATAGATTATAAATATGTCTATTTATTCTAACTAAAATTGTGTGGAGTGATGTGTTGGGCAGTTGTTTTCAAATAAATAAATATTATTATTTATACCACCTGAGATCACTTTTTCAATACTTTTCTTACTAGAGAATGTCCCTCATAGTTATAGTTTCTTGTTTCTGATAAAATATAAATACTATAAACACCATTAATAATATAGTTCATTGACTTTGATTATCGAAGTATGTTAACATTCCCTGTGGTCTGATAACAGTAAAATTAAGAAGACTCCTATAAATTGGTCAATTTTTGAAATCAGTACTTAACTGAAATACTATAAATAGTTGAGTTCTAAACTGCAAATAAGACAGTGTGGACACTGTTACTTGATAGTAATCACTGAACGGTTGATCACCATCTTGAAATGATGAAGCACTACATTTTAAAGTACAATATATTATGTATATCTATGAACATTAATTTAAAAGTATCCTGTTCCATCGGAAGATACGAAAACTGAGAATGATACAAACATATTTATTTGTGACGTTGATGTGATTACGTAATTCTGTGCTCGTTTTATATGAGTAATCGATACTTAGGAGTGTTGTCATTAGTTCACTGCTGGACAGAGGTCATTCCCAGTGCCCACCGAAGATGCATACATAAATGTTCTTCTACAGTAATTTAGACTGTAAAGTCTTATTCGAACCGAGGTACTACTTTGTTACTTAAGGTAAATTATTAGATGAAATGTGTTATTGGTTGAGCACGAAGTTTGGTCATAAGCACGATATGGTAAGTATGATTTAATAACACAGTTCTCAATATCTAAGAATCGCTTAATAGTAATAAAAAATTACGATATCGTAGAACGTGCGTCACATTAGATAATATTTATAAAAATGCCAACATTGCGATAAAGGAGTTATTGTATCTTATCTGCTCTACCCTAAGTATGAAACTGCGGCGTGAATCTTGGTGCAATATCCCGAGACAACTTCCTGCGAAAGTAATGCATATTGAAAAGGATATGACGTCACGCGCCAACGACCTTTAAAAAGTCCCTGTTTGGCCAAATCTCGAAAAATGAACGCCTGCATTTAGCAGCCGTTGTGGTATTTTTGTTCTTCGCTTTTGTAACCGATGACGTATCTGTATTACACCTCGCCCACGCTGCATTGTATCTTTAAAATCCGCCAGCACTCTTTTAGTCTAAGATAGTAATCTCTGACTCATAGTAACCTTTAATTTTCTAGTAAAAGTTAAAAAAAAACTATCAAATAAATGCAAAATGCAGGTATCAACCACTTTGCTTATGTTAATTGAAGTTTTTTTATTAAAAATAAATCATCGACTCGTTATGAAACGAATAAAACCTTGATCAGAAGTTCAATAGAACATCCAGAAATTTAGTAATAAACGGCTATTTTAAACTTTCCGACAAAGTACTCTGTGTGTATACCGAATTAATTACAGATGTCGAGATTCCATACAAGTTGTTATTTTTGTCTGTATCAATCAGCAAACCCGTTATGACATGTAAAATTTTCAATGCAAATGTCACGTATAAATGCGATATCCAGTTTCGGCGATGTCAATAATTCAAAAGGTAAACCATTTAATGGATAATTAACGTCATGACGCAAATTCTAAATCATTTTACCATATTCGATGGATCCTCAAAGAAAAATAGCAGCTGGCCCTGTAGCGCCTTCCAGTTTGAAATCAGCTAGGAAGAGTTTCGCAGTAACAAATGCATTTGTGCGACGCGAAGACAAAAAAGGTGAAATCCTCACGGTGCACACGAGCACGCCCAACGTAGAACACCGCTCGTACCATGCTGATCAATGTCAACTTTACCAAGGCGACGTTAATCTTTTATCAATCATGTATGTAAACTTTTTTCAACTATTGATGCTGTAAATATAAGTATAAAGGAAGCTGATGCATCCTATTATTTCCGTATATTTAAGATTCGGTAGTTGGAAATACAAAAGGAATAATTATGAATACGCTCTAAACTTGGCAACCTTCATTGACTTCTATCCAAATTATATTTTCTGTGTCGGTTTTCGTAGTCATATTCTATACGCATTTCTTGTACTCCCAACTACCGGTTCTTTTACTCAATCTTAGATTACAACCTCTTCTCTTACGACAATCTATTTAAATCACTTCTCACTGGCAAATTACGATACAACGCCATCTATTGACTCTCATTGTAAACTTCATTTACTATTTAAAGAAAACTATTTTAAATGACGAACGGGCCCTTTTTTTTTCTTACCTCGCATTTTTTTAATGAAGAGAATCACAGATAGCTAATACACAATGTAATGCCATCCACTTTTTTCTGACCAGATTTCTCTCTAAATATAAACTGTATTTTAACCAATTATAGAAACACAAATAAGGATATCATGTGTTGTAAATATACCGAGGATGTGAAAGATATCGCACTCGGTTTCTCTGACGGCACGGTGCGGTTGTTCGATTGCAATAATGGCAACTGCTCGCACACACTGGTAGATGACGAGTGTCGCACATACCCCGGCCCCGTGACTGGTATCAAGCACCGCCCCGTCAGTAAATCGCATCCCGTCACCAATACGCTCTTGACTTCGTGTAAGTTAAACACAAACTGCCGTACAAACGACGACTAATCTAGATCTCCTATTAAAGGATTTAAAATTAAATTTATATGTAAAGTAAATTAATACGTTTCAGATGTCAACGGTTATGTAAAATGTTGGAAGTACAATTATCACCAATGTCTTTACACAATAAGAGAGAAGCGGCAAACATTAGGCCTGTGCTATCATCCTCGCCACTCAAAGTTCGTTACGTACGGAGACGACGCTATATTGAACATGTACGACGATGAAACTCAGACACAGGAAAGGGCATTTCATTCCAGGTCAAAAATAAGAAACTTGATATTTTAATGTATTATTATTTTATAAGATGATAATGGTCCTTGGAGCAGACGAAAGGTCATGGTCTGGTGACCACTAGGTCACTGGCTTTGCATAAAAAAATGTACAATTACTTAAATAACGAAATATGCCTATTTATTTCAGTGGCAAAAGAGGGACGATAGATGGTCATCAGTCGAGAATATTCGCGTGCACTTTCAATCCGCGATCGAACCACGAGCTAGTGTCGGGTGGTTGGGATGACGTCGTCATTTGCTGGGACGCTCGCCAGCCTTTCGCAACACGATACTTTGTTGGAGTTCACATGTGCGGTGAAGGATTGGACTTTGATAAGCCAGGCAAACAGGTAAGGCATTCAAATATTAATACAATTGATTATATATGTGAATTAAAGTAAACATTTGCATTTGTAACACTGACCCTAGTACCAAAGACAATTTGCGTCTATGTAAGTTTTGGGTAATATCCATAACTTTACTTACGCCAGTAAATCTATTTTGGTGCAGATATTAACATGTTCATGGCAAGACAATGATACAATTCAAATATGGGACTACGGGTCGTGCAAATTGATCGATACGATTGTACCAGACGGTCACCCCTCCAAGCTGTACTGCGGCAAGTTCGTGCCCAACACCAACTTGATCGTATGCGGCGGTTCGGACGGCAATATGCTTCGTGTTGTGGATTACAATTTAAAATTGGTCAGTTTTTACACTTACTGTTTAGTTGGAGAAGTGCGTATCTTGGAATAATTAAAAATACACTGTTACGCCTATAATACAGACTATCTCCATTTTTGTACAACTCATTTGCATTATTTTACTATTATCATCAAAATAACTAAGTTTCTATTCATTTTACAGACGGAATGTTCTATCAGATACAATCCTGGCGCCATATATGCATTTGACTATGGAACAGTTAGAAGGAAGATAAAAAAAGTGCCAGACACTTACAAAAGAGTAAATGAGCTACACACCGTACCGCGCGTGGCGTTTGTTAGCGGGAAGAAACTTCAAATTGTAGATTTTGGCTAAGTTAATACAATGTACATTTTACATTTCTACTATTATTTTATTTTATCATACTCTAGATTTAGTGGTTACCTTTTGCATGATAACCTCTCGTCACACTCGTCACAGACGTGTGTCGCTCAGCGCACCAGACCTTATAATGTCGATCCGATTGCACTTTACAGACGGACATAAAAAAAACACAAACGTAAAACTTGTACATCTGTTGTATCGAATTTATTCTCTCTTTCAACATTTCTCTACGCACAAACAGCCGTTTAATACATTTGAGGTGATAGACAAATACACTGTGAATTCATTTTGTAAATAGTATATAAAACTCTAGAAAGATAAAATATCGAGTTTGGCAAGAATTCCATAATAAATAAAAACGTAATATTCCTACTACATAGTATTATACACAGGATTTGAACATCTATTACTCGACCGGTTCAAGTTGAGCCTCGTCAGCGGGTGGGTCTTCCCGTGTTGCAATTGTTTTTTGTTTTGAGCTTTCGACATCACAGCTGA